ATTGGATCCTGGGATCATTTTGTCTCCTTTTTAGGGAAAGCTAATCTAAATCATGGGAGGGAAGGAGGAGAGACAGGTCTAGCATGTGTTATGGAGAAACACTGGTAGATATTATTTCTATCACTGAAGATAGGCCTCTCACACAGAAGAAGAAAGATGTAATAGTTTTTCAGTCTGCTAGAAATAAGGTGTCAAACCTCAGCCCACAGGCCTCATGTGACCAACAACACTCCCAAGTGGGAGCTGTTAAGTTGTTGATAGATGGGAAGAAGGCATTGGAAAGTTCAAGAAATTGAATGTTATGCTTGAGAGAGGAGAATGACTTTCGAATTCAAATCCTGCCAAGACACAGGAAGAGATGAAATTATGGGTAGGAACATGGAAAGGAGCAGATTCCTTTCCTCTGAGGCAGGAGGGAAGGAAGAGAAAGTAGGGGATTTCACAGGTAACTAAAAATATGGAAAATTGGAGGAGAAAGTTGAGAAGAAGACTTTTAGTCAGACTCTAGTCTTTTCTGAAGTGTTGACTTTACTCGTACATGATTCAAAAGACGAGACTTTTTGTAAGGAATGATTTTTTTTTGAGAGGTAGGAAGAATGAGAATGGGTCAAGGATCTACTTAGCATAGGGACCTATGAGTTTGTTAACTACTCCCACCAGGACAGATCAAAATAAGTTTCAGTCAGAGTTTCCTGTGACATTGAGGAATTAAGGGTCTTGCCTGTGTTTACACTGATAATGCATATCAGATATAAGACTTGAATCTAGCTCTTCCTGACTCTAAAGATGGTCCGCCAGCTACTATGCCTTTTAGGACTCCCTTTTAGGACTCATAGTTGTACCATTTTGCACTTAAAAAGATTCTTTGCTTTGAACTGTTTTGTTCAAATGTGAACCACAATTCAAAAATTTTGGATAATAAATGGTCATGGCTAAATTAAACTCTGCTGTTGGTATTTAGTCTTTTCTGTGTGCTTGGATCTCATGTGCCAATCTTATGTAGAGGTATTGAAAAATTCTGTAGCAGGACTTGGCCCAGATAATATATTCTAAATTTTAAAAAATCCACATATTGAGTGACTCCTGGAAAAAGTCACATTAATGACATTAGATCACTATAACCTGTTTTTATAGACCCAAAGTAATATATCAAGTGTCACTTATTAAAAAATCATGCAAGTGTTCACCAGATTGATGACATGATAGTGTTCCAGAATCCAGATAAGATATCTTATATTGTAGAAATAATGTAAGTATGAATCACAACCCAAAGTGGGCATTTCTTCATATTTCAGCTGGAGATAAGAGTATGATTTATTTTTGGCTACTTTAAAAAAGACTCTTGTTCCATAATACCTATTTTTATGTTGTTCAGTTGATTAGTCATTTTTCAGTCATGTTTGACTCTTTATGAGTCCCATTTGGGGTTTTCTGAAGAAATACTGGAGTGGTTCGTCATTTCCTCATCTGGCTCATTTTACAGATGAGGAACAGAGGCAAGCAGGGTTAAGTGACTTGCCCAGGGTCACATGGCCAGTTACTGTCTGAGTCTGGATTTACACGCAGGAAAATAAGTCTTCCTGACTCCAGGCCCAGAGGTCTATCCTTGACACCATCTAGCTGCCTATTTATTTTTACACACATAACTTATTACAAATGATCAAAGTTCATGTATGAGATAAAAAAATCTATAATAAAAAATTAATTTAGATTGAAAAAATTAAATAACAATTGTTCTACCTGTACTTAACTTTTACTTGTACCTTCAGTACCTCCTGAAGGTACCTTCAGTAACATCAGTACTTCAGTAAGTGCTATTATTGTTCTCATTTTATAGATGTTAGGTGATAGGGTTTTACAGCTACTCAGTATGGAAAAACTGATTTGGACTTCAATCTCCTTAAACACAAGTTCAGCACTCTGTCTTCTATGTCATTATATCAACATTTAGTTCTGCAATCAGAACATCGGATTTGAGAAACTTAGGTTAGCATAAGATATTATGACAAACATCAATGAAATGAAAACAGTTCTTGTCAAACATTTGCATAAAGTCATCCTGGCAGCATCACCCCACCCCCCATTAAGACCCCTATGACAGTCATCTGGAAAAAAATGTCTAGGCATCATCAATGATGATAGAAGGGTACGTGAGATATTGTTGACAAGGAACTGGAAAGTTTAACAGCAATGTTACACTGCCCCATTCCTCAATGAGAAAAAACCTGGATTTATGTGGAGTGCTTGAGTACTGAGTTGGTCATGCTTAGCAATACTAAGTCATAAAAAAATTCATTGACTATACTGATGGGGATAAGACCAAATTATAGCTGCCTGGGGCATGACGGATTCTGTGTTTTGTTGATACTATATAGGTTTTTGTTTGAATGCTTCTGAAATCTGTTACTGTTCAGATCACTTTTCTGAAACAGCCTCACTAAGTTAAGTCTTAGTAAGAACTGGGAACTATAGAATTTAATAAATATTTTTAAAGACAGAAAGTTTTTACTTCTATCCAGATTTATTGTCTTACAATTGATTGAAATGTATAGAGAATATAAGATCTCACTGCATTTATTATTTGTTGTTTTTAAAGAGCATTTGATTCAGTAAAACAGAACATTATTTTAAATTATCTTTCCCAACAAAATGTTTTTTTCCATAGTTAATAATCATACTTTATTCCTTCAAAGATACAACAACAATAACTTAGTTGGATGATCACCATATTGTTAATGCTGATCAAAATATAAAATGGAGAGATGTATGCTTATGGATGGTATTTGCTATACTCATGGAGAATATTCAGCAGATTCTAAATGAAGGAAAAATTCCTTATGCATGATGAGGTTCTCCAGATATGCGTATTTATGGATAGCATTGCACTGATTGCATCAAGTCTTGCAACATTTCAACACTTCCTAAATCAATACATACTCACTCAGAGCAGTTCATCCTAATTCTCCATGAAGTAAAACCAAAGAGGTTAAAAAAATTACTACTGGTTAGTCGATGATATGCATTTGACTGGACACCCCATTGAGATGATCCATCAGTGCACTTTGAATAGACAACATCAATGTACAATGGGATGAAAAGGCCCATAATTAAACAAAGGGAAAGTGGGCTGGATATACAACTTCTGCCCAAGACAAAGGCTTATCTTAAATTCCAATATTACTTGGTTAATAGTGTATAAGTGCAAGCTCTGGACTACCACAGTCTTCAAAGAATTGAAATTGACTATCACTCAAAGATGTGAGCTGGAAGCAACATTTTGCAGATGACGACTTTATGTCAAGAAAAGTGGTAGAAGGATGCCATCAGAAGCATCTGGGTGGCCCAGTGCCCAGAGTGCTGGGCCTGGAATCAGAAAGAATTAAGTTCAAATCTAGCCTGAGATACATGTTAACTATGTGATATTGGGAAAGGCACTCTGTTTTCTCAGCTTCCTCATCTGTAAAATGGTGATGATAATAGCATCTACTTTCCAAGGTGGTTGTGATCATCAAATGAGATAACATTTGTAAAGTGTTTTTACAGGCCTAGAACATTGTAGGTATCATCATCATCATCATCATCATCGTCATCATCATCATCATCATCACAGAAATGTATGAGTGTGGTGGAATAAAAAAAGATGAGTGATTTGTGTCTTGAGAGTGAAGTATAGCCCTTTTGCTTTATCCAGATTGGTGTCTGTGTAGTTTTAAGAGTTCCTAAGGAAGTCTTAAAGCATGTTAGTTGGACCTCCTTTAGCAGATTTATGAGATAGCATGTATGGGAATCTCAGAGATGGTACTGGGGTTGGAATGGCTAATAGTTTGTGATATTTGTGGGACTACCTAATTAACTTTTAATAATATCACAGAACCAACAAAGGAATCATGCATAAATATGATTTTATATATTATGCAATATTATACAAATCTGTATTTTTTGCCTTCCCCCCTTACCCTGTAGTTTTATATTTAAATCCAACTGGTCTGGTTTATGTATATACCTTTATAGGTAGATGGAGAGTCAGGTGATACACTTAGGAACCAGTTATGATTTGTCTTGTGTGTGTGTGCGTATGTGTGTGTGTGTGTGTATGTGTTTACACACACACATATACACACACATATATATACACATATACATATATACACATATACATATAAGAATAAGCCTATCCCATTATTAAAGACTTTGAAAAACATAAAGCATTATAAAAAATGCTAGCTATCATTATTACAGCCTGTTGAAGAAGAAGACAGAGTGGGGGATGATATCAAGAGATGAAGTGGAGAGGAGAAGAGGAAGCTCAAGGTGAATGGTCTCAATCTTCTCAGTAAAATAAAAGGCAAAGGTCAGCTCAAATGGCGGGATAGTAGGAATTATGGGAAGCTTGAGGACAGAACTTGTAAATAATTGCTGAAGAGAGTGGGATGGAGAATTAATTAGAGAAAAGTAAAAAAGATTTCTTTGTGGCATTGAAAACTCTATTGAGATTATGTAAAATAAATTTGTAGTGTGCCTACTCTGCATAGTTTGTGGCTTTTTCCAGTTCCTTCTAGAACACTCGAATAATAATAGTGGAGGTGGGTGGTGGGAATAATAGAAAAACAACAATGACATCAATAACAAGGATGTCTTGATCCATCACTTTAGGGTTACATATAGGTAGAAATGCATATGTTGGAGGCACCCTAAACTGTGAGTTAAGTCATAGTAGGCAAAATATGGCTGTGACTAATGAAAAAAAAGGCCAACCTAGACACAGAGGCAACTAATAATGTGATAAAACAAATGAATAAAACAACCCCTTGAGCTCAATAAATAGACTACATTTTAACATAAATATATTTGAACTCAATGAAAATAGAGTTCATATTAAGACACTACCCTTAAGATTAAGACTTTACATAAAACTTCTCAGGTATGTTTTGAAAGAAAGAAAAGCTATGTTTCTTTGTCCTTTTAGATACTAACGATGACTTCCCCCCTTCTTTCCCTAGCTTTCAGTCGTGCCCCAATTCCAATGGCTGTGGTCCGAAGGGAACTATCCTGTGAAAGCTACCCAATAGAACTTCGATGTCCTGGAACAGATGTTATCATGATTGAAAGTGCCAACTATGGTAGGACTGATGATAAAATCTGTGACTCTGATCCTGCTCAGATGGAGAATATCCGGTGTTATCTACCAGATGCCTATAAGATTATGTCTCAAAGGTATGGTATTTAACATTCTTTTCTTGTGGGATTTTAAAAAAAAAGTTCTACATGTATACCTGCAATTTATTGACAATACAGAATAGCTAGTGATTTTGCATTTTGATGTTGAAAAAGAAGAGAATACATTTTGCTTATTTTTCCCCACCAATTCTCAAAAACATAATTTATGATTTTTTTGAGAGGGGAAGCATGAGAATATCTAAATCCTTGATCATTTAGATGAATTCTTCTAAACCCTTAGAAAAAAGGAAAATGCAAATGAAGATTTCTATATTGCTTATGGCAATGAGTACACCTTATACTAAGACTCATCATATGTAGACTTTGCATATTACAGTTGCTTGTTTTAATATGTTAAATTAGTTAATTTGTACTTATGTGGATGTAAGCAATTCAAAAATATTTCCTTACCACCATGTTATAGATTTCTTATCCTACTTAGAATTAAATGTTAGCAAAGAAACATTTTAAATTCTTATAATTGAAATTATTATATTTATAGGGCATTTTGCTTCGTTATGATTTCTTAATAGTCCTTGGCAAATCCAGGTCTTTGTTCTAGAGTACCAATCCACTCACAGTCAAGACATTCATTTACTATATGTCATAGTTTCTGACTCCTAACACAGAAAGTAACTTCCAGTTGATTAATTAAAGTTTAGCCAATGTACATAATGCAGTTAAAACTCAATTTATCTTAACTTTTTTAATTTTCATACAAGTTCCAGTCAACAACTTTTTTTATAATCCTTAAAACAAAATGTATAAAAAGAATGTTAGAATCACATCTTTTCTCTCATCTTTTAATCTTACTAATTCTAATTCTTCTCCCCTGATCTTTACTCTGTTTTGTCTTTTATGATTCATAATAATTGAATATTTGATTAGTAGCTGAGTAATAAGATCAATTCTGTAGATAGTTTTAATGACTTTAAATCAATATCAGTAATAGAAATTATGATGGGCCAGCTTCTTGGTGATAAAAGTGAAATGAATGTAAGGCAGAAATGTCCTTTCTGGGTTAATTCTACCACTCAGACAGCCTTTTTTAATAAATGTGACAACTGAAGGACATTATTAATGATATTGAGTAAAGGGAAATTGCAAGTTTATTTTTTGTATAATACGTTATTTCATATTGGTGCCTTTTGTATTATTTTCTTCTTCATTTTTGCCCCTTGTCTCCTACTTGTTTAACTTAATTGAAACTGTGACAAAATTCTGTGGGATTAGTCCTGAAATAAACCTAGTCATTCCACTGTGGCTAGATATTGTAATGGTTGCTCAGCAGTGGTTGCCATAGCTAATGAGGAATGTGAATCCAGAATGATATTTATTATTCTCGGTGTTCTAAGTTAAGCAATTCAGCATAACTTCGTTTTCTTTCCTTCTGGATTTCTTTTTCTTTGGTTGTTGTTCTATTTTTTTTCTCTATGAATGTGTGTGTGTGTGTGTGTGTGTGTGTGTGTAGATAGGGGAAATGAATATGTGCCATCTGTATTGCAAGTGGATTGGTACTTAGGATGAGTACTTTTTAAAAAAAAAAGTGGCAACAATATTATACTTGTTAGTCCTTTTGGCTTTTTTTTTTCTTGCCGGTGGAATTATTTTAATTTGCTTGCTGAGATACTCAGTGACTTCAAACGTAAACCCTTGTTCCAAGGCCTGTTAGAAAAGTAAAACTATAACGGACTCTCTGGAACCATTACAGAAATGTTTGATCAGAGCACAACAACAAGTCTGCATAGTAAAATCTTTTATGCCTCCCTGATAAATAATCTCCACGAAGATGAAAACTATTTTTACCCTTCTTTGTATCCCTAGGGCTTACCCTATACATAGTAAGCGCTTAATACATATTTGTTGATTCATTGATTCTTCAGGTGTACCACAGGTGTTCCAGTTAGATGGTGCTATCTTTTTGAAGGCTATGATGTACAGTTTCCTGATGAAACTGGTTATTCTTAAGAAAATGATAGAATATTGTTGGTGCTATATCACTGCGTATCTGAATTGAATACATTTGACCTTATTGAAGAAGAAATGTAATTTGGGTCCTTTAAACCTTGAGGAAGGCAAGAACCACTTAAATCGAAAATAATTTTTAATATCTTTGTAAAGACTCAGGCAAATGAAGATGCTTAGTAGAGTTTTAAGATAGCTTAGTTCTATGATATGGTTAACTTCAGAAGCAACGACTAAAATTTCTCTTTTCTTTTATTTTTTTTTTTAATAAAATATATTACCACCAGAATTGCTGCCATTCCAATCTTTTGAACTTTAAAAATAGATTATATTCAGGAATGAATGAACATTTTAAAAATATAATGAAGTCAGTATGATTGTCATAAATTACAACAAAAATACTAATAAAAATAGCCATCTCCTTGTGAGGCACTGAGAGAGGCATCAGATCTTAATTAATCGAGCTGTAAGGAATTTTAAAGATCATATAGTCCAATTTCTTCATTTTTTTTACAGATGAGGTACCTTAGAACTGAAGAGATCAAGTCATTCGCTTTAGGTCCTAAGAGCAGCAAGTATTAGAGCCACTTCTAACTTGAAATCCTGTGCTTTTTCCACTTCACTGTGGCATTTCTCTAGCTTATTGCTTTAAAGTTATCATTGATAAGGAAAATAGCACTTGATACGTGCCAGGCACTGTGCTAAGTATTTTTTACAAATATCTCATTTGATCCTCACAATGACCCTGTGACACAGGTGCTATTATTATCCTCATTTTACAGAGAACTGAGGCAAACAGAGGTTAAGTGACTGGCCCAGAGTCACATAAGTGTCTGGGCTCAGATTTGAACTCAAGACTTGCTGCCTCCAGGTCTAGCACTTTATCCACTGTGCCACCAGCTGCAAACAGTGAAAAAGTGTATCTACTTGAGGGAATATACATATAGTAGCATATACATGAATAGCAAGGCTGCATTCATAGAGGATAGTCAGCTTTGAAACCAAAACGACCTAGGTTCATTCATGCCTCTAAGCAACATGTGTTGTGTGGCCTTGGACAAGCCATTTAACCTCTTAATTCGCGGGGCAACCTTGTCAGACTAAGTTGAAGAGAAGGTAATGGCCTATATATTCTCAGAGATAAACTCTTCCCCCAGGAATTCTCTAGACCAATTAAATCACAGTCTCTGTACTTATCCCTATGAAAAATTATACGTATGTAAACATACCACCTCTAGGAGCACCCCTTCTCACACATGAGAAACCCCAGCTTTATGATAGCCAACGGGTTTCATCCACACAAAACCATAGCTTCTAAGTCCCTACTAAAGTATATTTTCCCTTTGATCAGCCAAGGGACACAGTTAGTCAAAAGCAAAGGCATTTAGTCACTAGCATATTATAAAAGTAGCATTAATATACTCCTCCCATAAACTTGGGTCACTTTTACCCATAAATATGTAGGTCCTTAATAGGAAGAACAAGTACTCGTAGTCATCATACATACAGTAGCCATGGTACATGCATCAAGGAGCATACATGTTGGGAAAACGTCTGGCCAGAGCTCATACATGGAGGCACAATTTATGCTACCAATATTGTTAACACTACCAATGTCTTATGCTGATAGAAAACATCAGACCAAGTCACACTAAATGTGAATTCACCTCATTCAATTTCAAGGCAACATGTTAGTGTTGCTCTACTCTGTTCTCATCATGGCTGTTGGACATGTAGTCTCTAATGGTGTTTACTCTTTGCTAATAGCTTCTGGACTTTATTTCTTCAGAGCAACATGGTAGCCATCTTTGGTTCAGCACATTGGTGAAAAAAATTTCCCCATACATAGGAATGGTGAGAGGCCTTTAGTCACAGCCACCATATTCAGGTTAACAAAAGCAAAGTAGTATGTACCTGAGAGAAGATTATATTTTTCTTTTTGATCCTTTATTCTGAAAAAAGATCATGGCCTTCCTTTTTTAAAGGTTAGGTATTTCCCAAATCCTCTCTGGTTTAATATGTAATTGAATTTGAACAAGAACAAAAAGTTATTTAAGGAGGCAAGGCCATGGTTCTCTACTCCCATAGCCTTCACACCTGTTTTATTATCAGTAACTACCAGCAGCAGAACCCCTTTGCTTTGCTGTTATATTTTAATCAATTGAAAAAATCTTCTTGTCTGTCTATATAAAATTGTGCATCTCTCTTTGGATGAATTCGAAGGGCTAACAAATTCCTGACTTTCATAGTTAGTTTTGTTTTGTTTTGTTCTTCCCATGTACCTGTCCAACTTTATCTTGCCCAAAACTCTGTTTCCCAGTTCACCAACTTCTATACTTCCAATGATTTTACTTCACTCCACCTTCATCACATTGGGAGTGCCAATCTCTTGATTTCATCATCATCTAAAAGCATCCCACTTCTGTAATCTGTAACTCTGAAATCTTTCTAATCATTGTTCTCCTTCCATATCTACTTCTCCTATACCTCTTTATTCACTCTCACTGCAGCCTCTAGTGACTCTACCCCCTCTTGACTTTTCTAGGGCAGCATTTCTGTGCCAGTTTTATTTAGCTCCCCTCAAGAGCTTGACTCTTTAATTTAACCACTTCTTTCTTACTCTATACCTTACTCTTGAATCCCTTGCTGTGTTGCTCTTTCATGGTTCATCCCTTTTCAAATCTCAACTCTTCTTCCTTCTCTGGTTCTGCACACATGCTATTGAATACCACTGCAGGATGTCACATAACCTTGGAGAATGAATCCACTACCGATTTATTTTATATAGCATCACCTGGGCCTTGAGTGAATAATGCTATTTTGCTCTCATTGATTCACTTTTGAGTTCCTCAGAAGCTGTTTTAAACCTTCTTTTCCAAGCTCAATCCACCTATTCAACCTTTTTCACCTCAGCAGAGGACCTTGCCTCTTAATTCACAAGCAAAACAAAACAAAACAAACAAACAAACAAAAAACCCCCAAAAAACCTACGCCATCATTCTCTGGATTCCACACTTGAACATTATGCACTC